GGGGAAAGGGAAAAAAAACAAGGGGGAGAAATGAATTATAGTAGAGTGGGTAGAGAGAGAAGATGGGAGGGGAGGGGAGGGGATGGGGGATAGTAGAGGATAGGAAAGGCAGCAGAATACAACAGACACTAGTATAGCAATATGTAAAACAGTAGATGTGTAACTAATGTGATGCTGCAATCTGTATACGGGGTAAAAATGGGAGTTCATAACCCACTTGAATCAAAGTGTGAAATATGATATGTCAAGAGCTATGTAATGTTTTGAACAACCAACAATAAAAATTTAAAAAAAGATATATCATTTTCACCCTCATCATCAGTGTAGGAGAGTTCCAGTTTCTGCACTTCACTGTCAATGCCTGGTATGATCAGTCTTCTTAGTTTTAGCTACTGTAATCAACATGTGCTGGCATCTTATTGTGGTTTTAATTTTCATTTCCCTGGTGACTATTTATGTGCATATCTTTTCATGAACTGATTTGAAATCAATTATATTCTTTGTGAAGCATCGATTCAAATCTTTTGCCAATTTTTGTATTGGATTATTTGATTTCTTAAAGTGTTTTAAGAGAGTTTTTTATATATTTTGTATGCAAGTTTTTTTTTAAAGATTAGATACAAAATTTACAAAAGAATGCAACTGTTAACAGTTGATCTCAAAATAGTTGTTAACAGTTATTTCATCTCAAAGTTTTGAAGTTCCTTCCTCATAATTTTTATTGTAACATTTCTTTAAAACAATTATCTTCTAGCTTCTTTTATTGATACTTGAAAAATCAGACATGTTCTTTCTCTCTAATTGCTTTAAAGATTTTTTTCTTTGTCTTTGTTATTCTGTGATTTCATTTTGATGTGCCTTGTCCTAGGCATAGCTTTTGTTTATCCTCTTTAGTATAAAATATTGCTTTCATGATAAGTGAATTAATATTTTCACAAGTTATAAAATGTTTATTGCCATTTCAACTTTAAATATTATTTATTATTTATTCTATCTTTCCTTGAGGCCATCTATTATAAAAATATTGGACCTTCTTATCTATCCTCTATTTAGCTTAGCATCACTTTAATTTCCTTTTTTTTTCTTGTGTTCACATTCTGTATAATTTCTTGGATATTTTCCCCTGTCTTCTTTCTTCAATTTGGTATTCAACCCATTCATTGACTTTTTACCTTTATATAAAAACATGTTTTTCCAACATTTCAACATTATTAAGGTTATAATAATATTAGAATCAGCACCAGTATACCTACCATGGAGCATTTAATTATTCTTTTTATATATGTCTCAATCTATCCTCCTAGTCATCCACTAATACATCTTTAAATAATTATATTTTTAAGAGTTGGAAGTTATATTGGCTCTCTATCCCCTCTTTTGTCTGTCTGTTCTTACTAGATTTACTAGATCCTTGTTATTTTCTCATCTTTTTTTTTTTTTCGGTTACTGGGGATTGAACTCAGGGATATTTGATCTCTGAACCACATCACCAACCCTTGCTAATCATTTTTATTGTAACATTTCTTTAAAACAACATACCTCTTCTCTATCCTATATTGGATAATTCCAAAACCAACAATAAGCAGGAATCTAAACCTACTAATTATTTTTACTTTTAAATTTTTTAAAATTTGTTTTAATTAGTTATACATGACAGTACAATGATCTTGACATATCATACATACATTTGAATCAGATGGGGTATAATTTCTCATTTTTCTGAGTGTACAGGTACTAATTTTTTTGTTTCTACTAAATTACATTCATAGTAACATTCCTTTATTGGAGGAGGTGGTGGTGCTTTGTAATCATAGTGAGCTCATTTCTATTCCTGCATGCCTAAACTGGAACAGATTTCCTATAGAAAATATTTAGTTTTGCTGCTTCTAGTACCATAGAACAGATACTGATATATAATTATTCAAATGTCAGTTTCCTTACCTACTTGATAGTCCAAATTCTAGTATGATGATAACAATACTTCCATTACTACTTGCCCTTTGAACAACCACACTCATTTGTTGTCTGTCCATTTATGTTACCCTAACCTCCCAACTCTGTTCTCAGCTCTGGTTAAGTGTATCTCTCCCTCCCTCCAATCCCATTTGTATGAAAGATAATTCTTGGAGTTTTTTTTATCTGCTGCTATGAGTATATATGCAGAAGCTATTTATGAGGTTTTGCATGACATTTTGATTCTTTCCTTACATTTTCTTTATAGATATTCAAGAATTTTATGAGGTGACACTACTAAATTCCCAAAAAAGTTGTGAACAAAAGATTGAAGAAGCCAATCAAGTTGCACAGAAATGGGAGAAGACATCTATTCTTGCTTCATGCCATGACAGTCTTCAGAAATCTGCAGAGGTATATTATTGACACTTCTTAAAGTGCTGAATCATATTAGAACTTATGCCAGTAGAAAAGTTGTGATAGTAGTAATAGTAGTAGTAGCAGTAATTGTTATCAATATGGCAACAATAATAAAAGAATTTTATTTATACCACACTGTGTGTAAATTTCACATAGGAAAATCTAGATTTGCTAAGAGATAAAACCCCAGGGAAGAGGAAAGGTACGGCTCTTTGGTATGACTTTTTGGTATGATTCTTCACATCACACAAGTGAGTTATGAATATTGTTATGAATATTGCTGTATTTTGAGTTGACTCAAGTTTAAGCATTCTGGAATTTCAAAACATGTTTCCTTATGCAATGTGGGATTGGAGTAGGATAATGGAATAGGAAAATGTGATCCAAGGCTATGATTTCTATAACATCCTGGAGTATGAATGATCCATGGTGGTGTAGGAACAAAATCTTAGAACTCAAACTTCTTTTTATTTTAGAATTCTTTTGAATTTAGAATCTTTAAATTTTTGGGTTTGGGTAATTTATAACATATACTATATTAATATTAATAGATATGCATTTAAAAATAAACATAAAGCTATTAAAAGTTACTTACTCAAAGAGTTTTTACAGATAGGATTATGGGATCAAAGAATTTGGAGATAATGTCATTTGTAGCTAATAAAAAAAATAGAATTTGGAGACTTCTATTGGACTTAACAATTGCCAAAGTGCAAGGCAAGTTGAAGCCTGTTTTAGATCCATAGCTGAGTGCAACTATGAAGGCAGGGGCAGATCAATGATACTTTCAAATGTCAGTCAGTACTTTAAAAGAGTGGTAATAGTATACACACACACACACCATATGTAAAGTTTGGGGTCATGAAGTTAATACCATGATTTGGAAGCTATTGTCAATGGGAGCTTGATTATTGCATTTTAGGATTGTTAAGATTTAATATCTCATGTACTTTCTGCCTTGCTCAGAATTGATTTGGAAATGAGATAAGACTGAGCATGATCATCTTAGCCACTTGAATAAAAACTGAGTTATTAATTGACACCAAACGTGAATTTATACTTAAAAACATAAAAATAAGCATCATCCTAATTTTAACACCTACAAATAATTATTTTTACATTTTTTGTCCTCTATACTCTATACAAATCTACGCATATTAAATAGAAACAATAGCATCTAGAGGATTTTTATGTCTTTTGATTTTAATGTTATACTAATAGTATTTAAGCATACCTTGTCACAAAGTATTTTTGAAACTGAGTGAGTATATAATATTCTATCATTCAAAACTTATTTAAGCAGTTCTTCATTCATACTTAGGTTATTTCAAATTTTCTCCTGAGTAGTGTAGTAATAAACATCTATGTGATTATATTATTGTTTTTTAAATTCTTTCATTAGGGCTGATTTTATGAATGAGACTTTTGAGTCCCAGGATAATCATATAAAACTCATAATTTAGATTGGCAAAGTACTTTGCAAATACTTGCTATCAGCATTGTTTCAAAAGACATATGCCTATATTCAACGTAACATTAATTTATCATTTAAAATATTTTGTAAAATCAATAGATTTTTTTACTTAATGCTTTTTTATTGCAATTACTTGTTCCTATTGGCACTGAATTATTATATACATTTTTCCTCTTGTGATCATTCAAATTTGCCCATTTTTCTAGATAGAACTAGAATTCTTATTTTGCAAAAGCATTTTGTTTATGAAACATGCTAGCCTGTTGTCTTATTGTTACATTTTTCTCCTTTGTTCATTACTATTACTTTTGCTTATAGTGCTTTTTTTTGAGAATTTTAATATTTATTTTTTAGTTATAGGCGGACACAACATCTTTGTTTGTATGTGGTGCTGAGGATCCAACCCGGGTCGTACACATGCCAGACTAGCGTGCTACCGCTTGAGCCACATCCCCATCCCTTATAGTGCTTTTTTGACATTAAAAATATTTTTAATTTTTATGTGTTAAATTTATTTTTTCTTTGCTTTGCTATTCTGCATTCCTACAATTTTTCCTTGGTTTTTATTGCCTTAACATTTTCCCTTTTTTGTTTTCAAAAAATATTCTTATTCAATTTCCAGATGCATAGTCCCATATATAATTTTGCATAAATGATAAAATATATTTTTATTCTAAATACTGTTCTACTTAACCATTTTTTTCCATTTCTGCATGTCTTCTTTCACTTTCTTCCTATACTGCTTTAACTCTGCCCTCTTCATGTGAAAGGTAATCTGTGTTACAAACATGTTTCTTCCTTCTGCACTCACTATAGACATATATATGTGGACTTTATCTACATATCCTTACTGGCACATGCACACATGTATTCATCCAGAGGTAATTTAGGGAAGTCATTTTTTCTAAAACACATGCTCATATTTCTTGAAATTTTCACATTGTCAGGAATACTTTAATTGGTTCTTCTGATGGAAATATAATTTCATAGCTTAGGCGTATCATGATTTATTCAATTTACTGTTTCCAATTTTCTGCCACTATGATTAATGCTACAATTATCTTTATATGTATATCTGAAACACTGATGCTTTTGTTCTAAGGAATAAATTCCCAGAGGTGGCATTATTAGCTCCAAGAGCATACAAACATCTAATTTAAATAAGTATTTCCAGACTGATTTCATTTTTCACATTTCAACAGCAATTCATGTGGATGCAGTTTTTACCTTACATCTATGTCAGCAATAGATGTTGTAGTTCTTTTTTTTAGCAGTTTAATAGGCATAGTGATATTTCATTGTTCACTTAATTACTAGTACCCAGAATATTAATGAATTCACTATTAGTGAATTTGGGCACAGTTTCATATTTTTATTAACCAGTTAAATTTTCTCTTCTGTGAATGTATGGATAATTTTTGCTCTTTTTTGGTAAATTTCTTGTAAATTTGTTTGGATTTTTTGTATATTTAAATAATTTAATTTATACTATATATATATATATATATATATATATTAGAGACAAATATTTTGTCTGAATTATTATATATATGTAATATCTTTGGTTTTTGATTGACACCTTTTCTTCAAATGTATCAATCAAAATATTTTTTTAAAGTTAGATTTTACTAGTTGTTATTTAAAAGATTATTTGACTTAATCCATACAAATTGGACTTTTAATTGGTTTTTGAATAGATGCCAGCAATATGAGGATGAATATTCACATGAATATTAGACTTATTTATTCCTGACAAAATTAGCATAAACAAAAGTTAATACAATCAGTGCTTTCCTACATGCAATTTTAGAGTTTCTTTAACTCTGTTCTATGGCAGCTTGAAGTTCTCAGCAAATGGTGTACTAAAGATTACACAAGTTATATTTTAAATATCAGAAGATAAACACAAAGAATTCCAATCAATTTGCTTCCAAAATTAAATGGATTGTTTTCTTCATGTAGAGCTAAATAAGACAAAGGAATGAGTTGATTGACCTATCTCACTGAAGATGGAGATAGAAATGTCTTTTATTTGAGTTTTCAGTGTATTGAGACAGAAAAATTGATGATCCTGTCCTCTGGAGTTTGACTTTTCAAGATCAAAGTTTAGAAAGTGAATCCAAATTTAGTTGTTGCTTAAATGGTCTTTGTAGAGAATAGTAAATTGAGATATAGAGCCAAATTGAATCTCTCAATTACTATAATCTCTCAATTACAACTAGGAAAGCTTAGACTAAGGGACAACAACCTAGGTGGATTCTGATGATGTAGTACAAATGCTGTTCCAGTTTTTAATTCTCACCTTGTATCCTTTTTCTTGGACAAACTGAGTTTATTTAAGAGCTAGAAATACATATAAACTCTATAAAATATGAATCTCTCTTTTCTATGATGACTTACAACCCATAAAGGTGTTTAGCACATAGTAGGCTCAAAAAATGTATGTTGAAATAGAAGTCTAAGAGTCTTCTAGTTTCACCTTCAATCTGGCCATAGGATTCCTTGCATATCCAATTCAGCCTCTTTCTTTCCATTCTTTTAGCTAAGCTTCTTCAGAATGTAGGCCAGACTAGAGAAATAACCAATGTGTCTTGGCTGATTAAATCTGGCAAAGGAAGTCATGGATAATATTCTCTAAAGCAATAAAATTATTTATTATATTACTGGTAGATTGTCTCTGGAAATAGAAGTTTTGAAAACATTCAAAGGTAATGGAAGCACCATTGGAATATTATGTTCTAGTGGATTGCATAAGGATTAGTAGATTTTTAAAAATAAATATTTTCATAAGACATCCATTAGCCTCTAAAAAGCTTTGATGATACAAGGAAAATGCAAATAAAGTATTCTCTGACTTCAGTCTACTGGTATGAGGCAAAAGTCATGATTAGTGATTGAAGTAGTAAAATTCTATATTATGAATTCCGGATTTAATTTATTGTTTGTATGTTTTGTTTTAGTAGATTCAAGCCAGTCTCTTGCATTATTTTGACAATGTGAAGTCAAAACATGGTAGCATAAGACTGAAAACTTCTGAAACAAGCATTGTTTCTAGTATTTTAAAGACAGGTGGGGAGGAAGTGACTCTTGGCTGCAAGATGACAGTGTTATAATTAATGACAGGGAAGTGTCTGTCTCCCCAAGTAGAGGCTTCCACAAGGAAGGGCAACAATGTATATCCAGTGCCTAACACAGAGTAATGTCAAAGAACTAGAGAAGTGTAGAGAATTTTAACTTTATTTTTCTATAAATCCTCCTGATCTTAGTATAAAAACAAATCTTCCTGTGAATACAAAACCTGATTTAAACTCAATTTTGAGTTTTCTCAGAGCATTTCTGCTTTATACTTAATAACCTTCCTGCTTTCCTTTCATACTTCTTTTTTCTCAGAGAGAACAATTTCCTTGTGCATTTATATTCTAACATGGCATCACAGTGGGAACAGAGACACAGTATAATGTACATCTCTTTGTTGAGGACACTGCCTGGAGGCACATTATAAGACTCAGTGAGTACTTAT